TAATAGTATATAGATGATATTAACTTATAGTATATAGATGATATTATTATTGTTATTGAGAGTCTCACAATACTTTAGTTTATCTTCTTTCCAAATATTCTTAGGACTTACCAATAAAGATTATTATACAATCTTAGATATTTTTCTTGTAAATACCATTTTATAAAAATGTTTGACAAAAAAAACTTCATGCATTTTTACCAAACATGAGGGTACATTAATTATTTTATTATTTTTTTCTTCTCTCTTGAATTAATATTATAGATATTGTACGTGCATATATAAATAAAATAACAATGTGTTAAGATAACGATTATAAATAATTATTTACCAAAAAAAAAATGACTATAATAATAATGAGCTATATGCATTTTGAAAAAGATTGGGAGACACAAATTAAATTTATTTTCAAACTCTTTATTTTGGGTCAATATATGTGTTTTGAAAAAGATTGAGGGACCAATTGAAGTTTTTAATTAATTTTAGGGACAAATCTACAAATTAATTAATATTTAGAGGTTATTAATAGAATTTCAAAAAAATTGACTGGTCAATATATGTGTTAAAAATATTGGAGGGGCCAATTAAAATTTTTAATATATTTAGAGGTAAAATTTACAAATTAATTAAGGTAGTAAAAACAATTTCCAAAAATTTTGGGGGCCATGGCCCCTCCTACCCCCTCTAGCTCCACCCCTGATTATAGGATTATATTATATATATAGTATAATTTAACATATATATATAAATAAATAAATATAACATAAACGTTCAGTTCGATCTAATTCAGTTCTAAAGGACCTCAAAACGTAACCAAACCGTATCTTTACAATTTCATAAATTTGAAATCGTGACCAAACCAAACCATTAGCAAATCAAACCAAACTGTTTGGTCCGATTTGGATTTTCAGTTTGACTAGATTTTTATGCACCCCTAGTCCAAATATATTCCACTTACCTTTTGAGATTTGTTAATATCTTATATAAACCCCTTCTACGTTTTAGAATCTCACTTACCACCTTTATTAATGACATTTTTTATCATTTTGTCCATGAAATGTTTTGTTGTTATTTCAAACATTAGAAGAACAATGAAAAATCTGCTACATAAATCAGAACTTTAAAAGAAGTTAAATTATAAAATATAGAGAAGTTTATGTGGAATATTGACAAACCTTAGAGTTAAAAGATCATTACAGGCTCAGCTCAAGCTTAAGCCCAACCCTTTCAAATTTTTAAATAAATTTGAAGGGTGATTACATGATTTATATTTGATTTTGTAACCCATCACTATATTATTATTAGCAATCATATCCAACGATAATTTTTTTTTTCATTGGTCTTGAACATATCATTTCCGATTATATGTGTATTTGTGTGTGTATATAAATACGAGTAATGATATACTAACCGAACGAAAAACACTGAATGAGCACCGAAATTGACGTGGCTTCGCCACATCAGATTCTTTTGTTCACGTTTCTTAGAGTTTCTAACCCAAGTTTTTGCCCTTATCTTTATTACATACCCCACTTGCCCTTATCTTTATTACATACCCTACTCCTTCGCTCTCTCAAATTTTATCAAATCTCTTTCCAAAATTCTCTCTCTTCTGCGTATTCCATGGCCACCATCTTCTCATTTCATAATTTCGTATCATATTGAAAATCTTTCAACTACTTATTCTTTTTCTCTTGTTTTCTCTATCCGAAGAAGAGCAAACCAAGTTAATAAGGCACCATGATATAGACTAATAGACCTATTTTGATGATGTTTAGAGATTAGGATTTATGTGCAAGATCTTAGAGAGAGGGAGGATAAATTTTTAAAGAGAAGAAATGATTACAAAGTAAGAAAATTTAGACCCAAATCTTATAGAGTAAAGGTAAAGAAAAAATTCATAGAGATAGAGAGGAGATGGGTAAATTTTTAGATAAAGAAAAAATTATGGAATTTGAGAGAGATGGAAAAGAGATGATTCACTAATTCAAACTCAAATCTGAGAGAGAGTGACGAAAATGTCAGTCGAGAGAGTTGGGTGAATTGTGAACGATTTGAGAGAGAGAGGAGTAAATCGTAGAGAGAGAAAAATAAAGGGTTTGAAAAGAAGATAAGACTGAACAAAAGGGTATTTTTGTCATTTGCAGAATCATTTTTTGCCAGAGAACTTTAAGTAGATGATGTGGTTCTCACCACGTTAGGTTCGGTGCCTATTCGGGAATAAATGTTCGGTGTTTCTATTAGTATGTTCTCACTTCTCACCACGTCAGATTTAGTGCCTATTCGGGAATAAATGTTCAGTATTTCTATCATTATTCTATAAATATTAAGCATAAAATTATAAATGTACTAAATGAGGTTCGAATTCATATTGAGCTCAGGTGGGCCAAATTTGAGTTGGATTTGGGTTACCTAACACCTGAATTGAAACTCAACCCAAATTACCCAAATTAGGTTCAGATTGATCGGATACATTTCGGACTGCAAAAGTTCACCTGCATATGTTAATTGTTGCAAAGAAAAGTGTCATGAAATTAACTTGCAATGGCACGATACCAAATTGTAATTGATTACATACCAAATTAAGTACATTATTCAGTGCAATTGAAGGCTGCTAAAAAGAAGAGTGAAAGAGTACAACTTTAACCTTTAACATCATTAATATTTAAAACTTGTGCTCTCATACTCGAATCCGAAATTCTAAGAATAAAATAAATTTTTGTTATCACAGAATTATTCGGTAGGTAGTATAATTCTAAGTTATATAATTCTCTTCAACGGGTGTCCTTCTCACACTCCGAATACACTTTTGCTCTCATTCTCGAATTCGTTGTCACTCTCGCTCACTTTATATGACTTATGACTATAATAACCCCTCCTTCCCAAGAAGTGAGGTTAGAGTTCAAACCAAGGTGGCATTTGTGAAAAGGAAAAATGTGTATAAGTGAGTATTTAATTAATTAAAAAAGAAAAATAAAAAATGGAAAAGAACTTTTATCATTGTAGCAATAGATGGCACTTTTGACCCTTTTCCGTTGCAATTTGACAGCTGCATTTGATTGCTGGCATAAGGCATCCAAGAGAAATGTAAAAAGTCGCCTTATACCCCTTGGGAACATTCAAAAATAGTGTATATATATATGTGTGTGTGTGTGTGTGTGTGTGTGATATATATACACATTTTATACAAGTATAAAATTATAAAATAACAATCACCACTCCCAGTCTCCACAATCATAAAATCCCTAATTTGTTAAGATCAAAGTTTGGGCAATCATGTCAGCTTTGATTGGTGAGAGAGAAAATTGGATTGGAGGTATGATACACGTAGTGGAAAGCATTTTCCAACAGGGATTTGATGAAGATGCATGAGTTAGATTCCCGTAAATGTCAATATTTAAAAACATGAAATGGTGGGTGGTACCCTCTACAGAATCTAGGCCTATGTGGTGGGTGAACCCTCAAAATGTCAATTTTCAAAACATGTATTCTTACAAACGATTCTTTTCTAGGAGACAAAATCTAGCAAAAAGCATACATTTCGAAAACAAGTAATCTCAAATACATTCTCATCAAACATCTCTAAACCTAAATTCCAGTGTGGAAAACATGTTTACCGTATGGGGTGCAACTCGGATGAGTTGAAACGTCAAATGCAACTCAAACCGCACCATGAATAACATTATCCAAGCCCAGGTTGAACTTGACCTCGGGTTAACAAGATTTAGTCCCGACTCCGATCCTCCAAAGCAAGTTTGGAAAAATATTTCTATTTGATGGAATGGGTTTGCAAAAGGGATGCCCCATCCCGAACCTACGTCGTTAACATCCTTAGCCAAGCCCAAAATGAACGAATTGAGTTTGAATCGGACTCAAGTTGACCCACTCAAGTTATACCCCTATCCATTGTTAAGCTACCCATGTTATAAATTTATACACAATTTAATTCCAACAAAAAAATCTAATGTTTTTATAAAAAACTTAAACAATATAATCAACTGTGAAGATCTCCACTAACTTCAATTAGATTTTCACTTTTCACAATGACTTCACTATATTATAAAAACATGTATTTACAAACAATATGTTATGAGACACTTTGACCAAGACCCATAAGGACAACCACATTTTGCTTGGACTCCACAATGTGAGATGAAAGGGGTGTGGATGCAACTTCCTATGATATTTCATTAAGTAATAAATATTCATCTCATTTTGTTTGGACACCACATTGTTGTGGACAAGACAATCTCAAACACAGATAGAGAGCAAGAAAATTTTGGAGCACATGTATCACTGCCTCGTATAAAAAAACCATGCCAAGACATATGGGCACGAGTACCCATAAAACAAAAGGTTACACATAAATATATATATATATATATGTGTATATATATATATATATATATATATATATATATAAATTTAATATATAAATGAGGCTACAGACTGAAAGTGAAAGGAGTGCTATGGTACCCTGATACCATTCAAATTGTGTCAGTACCCATGTGACCATGTGGCCCTCTACCTTTCATGTCCACCTAAAAGAAACCACAAAATGAGACAAAAGAGTCCACATAAAGTTGCTTTTAATAACGAAAAAGAACACCCTTTTCTCTTTTTTTACAACCCTTTTTTCCAATTTCCTGCAAGTGATCATAATATAATGGATGACAGTGTGCAGTGTAATAACAAGAACAATTGAAAAAAGTATAAATAAGATTAAAGTGTTGTGACAGACAGATAGATACTCAGCTTTACCCTCCACTTCAAAGCCTACTCAGTCCTTTCTCTTTTGGGTTCCTATATCAGTACAGTAGTTATACTACTGCTTCAGCTCCTTTGAGCTTCCCGAATCAGCTTTTTTGTACGTCTTAATTTGAGAAATTTTTCTTGGTTCAAGCCAATCCCAAAACACGCAAGCAAACGTATATTCCCTGACCAATGACAACCCAACACACAAGCAAAACATTGAATTAAGGTGACACAATTGCTTGTGATTGGCCGGGGCATATAAAAATATCTCATAAAACAAGGTATCTTCAGGGTTTTTTTTTAATCTTTTTACCACACAAGAACAGGGTTATAAAAGAGAAGAAAGTAAATTAACAAAATATACAAAAAACGAGTTCTTTTACTACTAGGCCTTGTGTTTGTTATGCTATTGTTCAAGTGTGGTCCAGCACACAACTACTACAGAGAGGGTACAAAGTAAAGAAAAGAAGAGACCCCACTCCATAAATCAGTTCATCTGTCCTTTACGTATGCATTATGTATTGTTGTAAGTAGTATGGTATTGATGATGACAATAATCTTGAGGAGATCTTCCTTACAGATCTTTTCTTCTTTCTTCATGTGGGTATGGTTTGGCTATACAGCTAGAGGACTCTCTCTCCCTTTGTATATATGCTACTCAACCTTTCTGCATAAATGAACAAAAAAGGACAACATGACTAAAGAATATGATTAACAACAAATTCTATAAACTATATAAAAAAGTTTTTGGTACATGATTTAGAATATGATGTGCAAGGTTAGTTGATAACTTACTCAAGCTTCAAGTCAATTCCCCATAATGGACATGCTCACCTGTATCACCTACAGTTCAAAAGCTTCTTGCCAAGAAGAGAACTTAGTAAATAACAATCCCAAATTGTAAGTCATCATTGTTAAGAGACAGAGAGACATATCAGTGTCAGTACCTCAGCATTTGGATATTAGCATGATCTGGGATTTAACCATATTAGAGGGTAGATGTGTTGGGCAGCATTGGGATACTGTTAGAAGATGTAGTTGTTATTAGGGTGTTAATATCAGTTTCTACCGATGCGGCAGAGAAGATAGAAGAGTGGTGGTCACCGGCTAATTTTGTAGGAGATGCAAAGAGGTTATCGGGAAGGATGTGATCTAAGCTGCTGTCACGATGGGGAAAAATAGAAAGTTAAAAACATACCAAGGTAAAACACAATTAAAACAAAAGTATGCTTAAAGAAGACCAGAAAACTTAAAAGACTCTAAAGCAGAAACTGAATATAATCTGAACAATTCTACACTCGATGCTCAGGCGGGTAGCCTCTATATTTGTCTGAATCGAATTTGTATACCTTTCAGGCAGATCAGAGTCAACGAGGTTCTCTTCCTTGTCGTTGCCACTGTAATTGCCATTCTTGCTAATGCAGGTGTCACTTAAATCCTGTGGCAGCTTCTGCTCGGCTTCAAAAATTGGAGAATTAGCAGCGTCTGAACGACCGTTGTTATCTGCAGTAAAAAGATGCAATATAAGTTTTAATATACGAACCTTGAATCCAAAAATTTGCTATCAAATACCAGATTTTGATTGTTTAACCTTCTGGGATTTCTTCATTGATGCTATCAGAAGGAAGCATGAGACTTTGATTTATTTGCACGTGAGGTGGAGCTGACAAGGCAATGTGACCACTTGGCGATAGGTTGGGCTGGAATTGATGATTATGATGATGATTCTTCAAGTCCATGAGTTGCACATTCATCAATCTTCTGCCCTGGAGTTCAATGGCTTGCTGCAATTCAGCCTGCTCCTCAAATTTCCTTCTCAAAAGCATCTCTTGAGGATTGTAGAACATCCTTGCTCCTGTATGCATTGGAATGGGAGCTTCAACAAATAGAACTCTACATCGAAGAAGAAAAAAAACAAAAAAAAAGAAGCTTGTTTGTTCTTACCAATGGGTAGCTCACAAGACTCCCTAGAATCAAGTCCCGACGGACTTAAACAACGTGAAAATTCTCCTCTCTCCAACTGTTGCTGCTGTTGCTTCCTAACAAATTATTCAAAAAATTAAGCTAACATCACCACATGTAATAGGGCAATGCACATTTAAACAAGAGATATAGAGCACTTTTTCCCTACTTGTCTGGTAATTTTCCTTTCTCCTTGTAAGGCTTAACAAGCACACGGGAGTCACATACAAAATGGGGGTTCCCTTTGGCCAAAATGAGCCTCACAGTCTCCGGGTGTAGAAATGTAACAAACCCAAACATTCGCTTCTGCTGATACGGAATTCTCACATCTTGCACAGGTCCATATATGCTTCAAAAACAACATACATAACAATCCTAAGTAAAATTATTTATTCGAAACATCAAATTTCAAAAATGAAACTCAAGAAGCGCGAATCGATTACTTGAAGTAATTGGAAACATCCTCTTCTTTAAACGTACTGTCAGCTGGAAATGTCAAATAGATTTGCCTCGCACTCGAATTTGAACTACCTCCCAATCCCATTGCAGAAAATTCACTCCTCCCCGGCCTGCACCGACCAAACTTTTGAAATTCTTCATCCAGCATCAATGCTGCTGCCGCAGATCTACAATGCAGTATAATGCCGTGAAATAAACACAAATGACCCATCCAACATAAAAACCCCAACATCAAAAAGGTCTTAATCAACAAATTGTTTAGCCTAAACAGGCTCCAGACATAAAAGAGCTTCCTTTATTAATGCACCATTAGTCACACAAACACACAAACAGATACACAATCAACAACATCAAAACAACCTCAAAATTATCAAACTTGCATGTAGCACAATTTGTTCAAAGCAAAATAGAACATATGCATGTGTTTACCTCTGGGTGTCATTAAGAAAGTTCATGCCTTTGTTGTAAGCAAAAGGAGCTCCGGCCATTAGATGCGACGCTGCGGCAAATCTATGCTGCTGCTGCTGAATGGCCTTCATCCTCAGTAACTCATCGAACCCATCAATCTTACTCGGAGAACCCACAATGGCATCCGAAGCATCCAGAGAATCAGCAAACCCACCATGCGAAAACTTGCAACTGTTCCCATTCTTGCAAAAGCCTCTAGCAAAATACACACAAGGCCTCCACCCAAGCCCAGAACCACCATCATCTGACCCACCACTAAGAAACACATCATTCACCGAACAGCTCCGCCTATGAAGCTGGTGGTGGTGACTGTCGCCGCAATTGCCCGAATCCACCCAGTTGCTGGCAGTGTTCCCATATGGGAACACAAACGAATCGCTCCGCCCACCCGGACTCATAATCGGATCCATAAAATCAGTGTTCTTTAAAGAAGACTCGTCGAGAAAAGACAACTGATTGTGAACTTCAAGATTAGAGTACTCGTCGTTAAGATCATTACAAGAACTCTCACTGTAAAATGGCACTGAAAATGAAGTGTTTGGAGACGATGAAAACGACCCAGAAGCGCCGTTGGTGGTTCCGTTAACGACAGCAGCGTAAGAAAGCGACGAAGCTGGTCTAGGACTCAAGTGACTGTTGGGGCTTCGATGATCCGAAAAACCAGAAAGTGACCATGGCGATGAGGGCGAAGAAGGGTTCATGTGAAACCCATTTTTGGGAATTATGATTCTTGAGGACGACTGGGTTAGTGGGTTAGGTCTGGTCAAGTTCGAAATGGGGCTGAAAGGGGAGGGAGAGGAGGGTGTAGATGAACTGTTCGATGAAAGTCCCAACTGAGCTTTTGCTTGGATAATGAGAGATAGCAACAGATTGTCTGGTCCAAAGGCCAGTTTCATCTTTTCTTTCTCTCCGAAGTCTTGAAAGAGTATGTAACCCATGATTTTTGAGGCATTCTCTGGATCCAAACTCTGGATTCTTGAAAAAATTATGGAGGTTGGGTCATGGGAATCCATTGTGGTGAGTGGTAAGTGCTACCACCACCCTCCTGGTTTCCTTCTCAAGAAAATCTAAGCTTTAGAGAGAGAAAGAGAAAATATTAGCTTTAGAGCGAGAGAAAACAGAAGTGGGAGTAGGGTTTGATATAGTGGTTTGAGAGAGGAGAGAAAAATGGGGGGAGAGGGGGAATAGGTAGAATGGTGTGCTTATTTTGGGGAATTATTAGAAAGAGGTGGATGAGATTCAACTTTGTTATATAAAAGGTAATGATGGGTTGGAATATTACATATAATCATCATATACCATATACGAAAAAGAGGCAGATATAGTAGGAGATGATACTCTCTCTCTCTCTACCCCATGAACTGAGATCAAGTTCATTTGACTGAAAGAGAGTCAAAGGTTCAGTCTTCGAAGGGATGAAGAAGAAGAAGAAGGAGAAGATGGTGTAATTAAGTGATGAGAGAGAGTAAAACGATTGCTTCGGTGATGGTGGAAACCACAGCTTTTGGTTGTAGTGTAACCTGCAGCCTTGGGGAGCGTAAAAGTTTTTCTACTTTCTTTCTCTCTCTAGACTCTGGTCTAATTGTTCTTTCACTCTTTAATTGAACAAAACAAGCCGAGTAGCTCTGTAGATTCAGATCTGTATAAAATACCACATATGCCACTCCCGTCCCCCTGTCATGTTTATACACACACGCTCAATTACATTCCAGAATGGGAACAAACTGCACTTTTGAAATGGGTCGGGTCATGGTATGCCAAAAGTTGATGACTTGATGCTAGTTGTTTATTTATTTATTTGTTTTGGAGAGTAATTGATGCTAATTTTGGATTAAATATAAGGGTGCAACTTAATCTCAACCTTACCCAACTTCAATTTTATTTTTTAATTTGCAGGTGAAATAATATTTACTATTAAGGTTATATTTGGTTAAAAATTTCTAGCCCAACTTATTAAAGCTAAGACTAAAAGTTGAGGTGAATTAAAACTAGAAAGAGCCTTGTAGTTCAGTGCTATTTTTTCTATCTTTTAAAATAAATGGTGATGATCATGAGCAGAGTATGCGTGTGAGTGGTGTGTGTAAATTTCTTGCCAATACAATTTAAGACTTTTTATGTTTATTGTACATCATATTATTTCAAGACAAGTTACACTAATTTAAATCAGGTGTGACGATGTTACCCGAGTAATGATAAAGGGTTAGGCTTTAAGTGCCCCCACTTTATGGTCCTAGGTTCGAACTCCCTTTCTCCTAACCCCCGCTAACTCTTAACTCTCTAACCATTGCTAGGTGAAAAAAATAATAATAAAAAGAAAACAATTTAAATCATAATTTCTCTCAAAACTAAAAACCCTCGAAGTCCCCATTACTACCTGATTCTTCGTCAATCCCCCAAAATCTCCCCCCCCCCCCCCCCCTAGTCGAAAACATTCACCGTTGAAAATACCACTTGAAATTTTGATGGCTTCTAACAATCTTTTCTGGTCATAATGGTTGATCTCCAAGTGGGTGGCAATTTGTGTTATATGGTTATAATCATATAGTGTCTACCTATGAGCACTCTCCTAAACAGGTCAATCCAAATACAAGTCATTTAATAATCGTGTCAAAACCCTCGACATGAACGTAGCAAGTAACACAAGACTTGTTCAACCCGTTTAACTTAAGTTATATAACCCATTTATTAACTTAGTATAAAATGCAAATATGAAAAAATTAGATTGTGGATGTCTAAATTCATGAAAATGAGAGTCGTTGTCAAAATACAATTTTAAAAAAGCCGAATACAACAGACATGTTGGATTTATTTTAAATTAAAAGAAATGACCATATTAATTGGGTTAAAACAAGTTACAGGTTAATCGGATTGATCTAACACAATTATGAGAATTAATTAAACGGATCTAATAGGATTAAGCAGTTTGAGCTCCCAAACACGAACACGACACAATTAATGAAATGATTGACACGATTAGGACACGGACATGATTAAGGTCAACCTATCGGGTTGATTAGCTAAGTTTGGGGATTAGTTAGGTTTATTAATACCTCAGACTGGGTTCCAGTTGAGACTTAAAGTCGGGAGAATTATAGAACATTGAGATTTATTGGTGTAGAGATTTCTAAAATGTTAGGGAGTTATGTATGTTTTCCGAAGGTTTATAACAAAGGATAAATGATATATTTTGATGATAACAAATCATTGAAGGTGTTGAATTTAATCCCTTCTTGAGTTATGTTAAATAGGTTATTATCTAAGAACTCAAGAGAGCTTGTGGATCAATAACAAAATCAAGAAGGGACTTATATTTAAAGATGAAATCTTGAAGCTCAAAAAACATTGAAGACAAAGATAGAGACATTAACCTAAAGCTTAAATAAAAGGAAGATCAAAGAATTGGATAGAATATTCTTGGGTGAGTGTTAGCTTAGATTGTAAAGTTATTTTTGAAGTAACTTATTTGAAAGCTCATCTCTGTACTTAGTGGACTGTAGGACCATGCATATCATTCATAAGTTCTTAAACTATTAATAATAGACTATGAACTTCATTATATACAAAATTGGTATATGAAGCCTTTACTAAGGTCGATAAAAGAATTGTGTAGAATAGTCTTGGGTGAGTGTTAACTTAAATTGTAAAGTTATTTTTTAAATAACTTATTTGGAAGCTTATCTCTTTACTTGGTGGACTATAGGACCATGCGTATCATTCATATCATGTAATGACCCGGTCATTTCCTTCATTTCTTTTTTTTTTCGGCAATTTTTTTTTTTTTTTTTTGTTTTTCGTCTTTTCTACGGTTTCGTTTTTATTCGCATAACCTCACTTTTTGTGCTCGAATTTTTTTTTCCGACTTTGCATGCATCCATGATATTTAATTTCCAAGATATTTGTATTTTTACTTTTGTAGAAAAGTATGCTAGTTGCTTACTTTTTCGTAAAGGACATGGATGCATAATTTCTTCAGCAACATTCTTGATTTTTGGGGTTTTAGTGTAATTAATTTTTATCTTATGGACCATTTTGTAATTTATTTTGAAATATATTTTGAAAAAATGACATTTTTGCAATTTTCGAAAAAGTGTGACAAGTGTCACAATCTTATTGGTCCACTTGTTGGCATCTCATTGGTTCATACTTGGAAGCCTTAGATGATGACATGTGGAGGGTGAGGATTTACCTACTTATTAACCTAGGATAGATGCACTTGTTAGCTTGGATGGTTGACAAGTATATGGTTAAGATTAAGCCTAGAATGGATGATTGGATTAGTGACAAGTGTAAGCTCTAAAATTTGTCTTGCATTAGTATGTATGTGAGAGGTAGTGCAAAAGTACATAGTAAGTGGAGAAATACACTAAAACTAGTTTAGGTATTTCATTTTTAATTTATTTCATCTTTTTCCTCTCAAACCCTAACCTAGCCACCATTGAAGCAAAGCTTGACTTAGAGCTTTAAGCTTCATTTTGGTCCCCTTCCACTCACCTTTGACCTGAAAGCTTGGAATACAAAAGTTTTGTCTCACCTTCCTCTACAAAACCCTAGAAGGAATTCTTAAGATTTATTTGCTTCCCTTGGATTCAAGAGGAACAATCTTCTTGTGAAGTAGGGGTGATTTATGTTTATAATCTTAATGTTTTAGATGTTGTGTAATTTAATATAAATTGTATACATGTCTTTAATTTAATTATTAAATTGGTAGGTAGTAGTACCTTGCATGAAATTAAGCTAGGACATGAATTTACTAATGACCTTGACTTGATCTTCGTTGTATATTAATTAGGAATCATTTGGAGTTGTTTTAAGATCTAGAGATTTAATTATTTTAATTTAATTAAATTCTATTTAATTTTTCTAATGATGTAATTAATTATTTGAATTGATATATGTAATGATCATGCTATGATCTTTGACATATATTAATCAGGGAATATTTGGGTGAGAAATGAAATCTAGAGAAATTAATTAATAAGATTAATTAATTTTTATTTAAGTGTTCCAATCATTTAAATAATTATTTAAGTTGATATATGTAATAACCATGCTATGATCTTTGACATATATTAATTAGGAAATATTTGGATGAAATTTGAAATCTAGAGAAATTTATTTTTTTATTTAATTAATTTCTATTTTTATTGTATTAATGATTTAACCATGTATTAGATGTTGTTTGCATATTTAAATTATAAATTTGGACTTATATTATATTCATGAGAATATGTTTTTAATATTGATAATATTGTTGTGGTGTAATGAATCGCAATTGAAGATTCGACATGTGATGTTATTGCAAGTATAACGAATCGCACATTGAAAATTCGACATTTTATATGCCATTGTAGTTGTGGACTTAGAGCATGCAATGTGTGTTTCCAAAATTGGTTTGTGCATAGTAGATAGTTTATAACCTTGTATATATATGTTGATATATACGTTGTTGCACAACTTATTGATTTTGAAAACTTGAGATGTCGTCTGTTTCGAATAAGACTAGAGTATGGCTCTAGGGCGGGAGATTAGCTCTCCCCACACGCGCGCACTAAGGTAATTCCCTGCGAGCTAGTGACCTACAATTGCTATTATTGTTCGGTCTGATTCGACGTGATGTCCAAGTCTTTCCACCATTTGATTTCGCATTCAATTTCAAATTGTTAATCATGGATTATTTATAGCTTGTGATTTGATGCTTAAAGTCTCTTTATGGTTTTGTATACTAGTGCTTGTATACTTGTATGGCTTGGATTTATCATTTCAATAACTTGTGTAGTTGAGATGATCCCTTAATTCACCTTGGATATAGACATTAGGTGGTATGAATCACATGGATTGATTTATATCAATTTGATAACTTGTAAAACTTTAGGTCATTCACATGATTTATATCATTTTGGTTGCTTGGCGTATTTTGAAGTACTTTATTCATGCACTTATTAGCATGAAACGCTTTACTTTTGGTTTTATATGTTAAAACATGTATATTTTGTTTTAAATATGTATTACGCACATAAGTACACCTTTTGGAATGTAATTGACATGTATGTAATGAGGCCAAGGTCGTTTACTTTTAAGTTGCTTCTTAAGTACTTTTAGTTTCATGTATAATTAAAGAAAAATATAGAAATTGGATACTTTAGCATGCTTTCTTTTATTTGGGATGTGCATGTAAAGTGTGCATAAGTACATTTTTTAGTCTCTTTAAATATGCATGAAGTGTGACCAAGAGCGAAACGGTCTTTTGAATGCATCTATGAATTTTAGTTTCAAAATTTTCTTTTAAAGTCATTTTAGACAAATTTTAGAATTGATAGGTCAAATTTTGCATTGGGGGTTATTCGAAGCCGTAGACCATCCGCACGCTTTAAATCACTAATTACGTTTGCGTGCATAATCATTTCATTACACAACTTCATATTTGGCCAATTGAACACTTGAAGCAAAATTATATTTTTTAAGTTTTATGTAAAACTGAACAGAGGGGCATTTTAAAAATTTTACATCAAAATTAAATTTTGTTTTTATCATGGTTAGCTAGAAAACTTGATTTTAAGGGGGTTTCTTCTTTGTGTTTTTTCTAAAAAATTCATCTAAGGGTCTGTTTTTACACATTGTTTCAGCAT